GGGGTCTCCTGCTCCACACACCAGGGTCCTGAGTCAGAGCCGTCCTGATGTTGTCTCAGCCCTGGGCCCAGAGGGCCTATCTCCTACCTCAGCCCCTGCTGCTTCAGTTCTGGGGAGTCAGGCCGCACTGCCCCCGATGGCACTGATGGGAGCCCCACAGGGTGACTGTGAACTGTCCTGCAGCCTAAAGCTGGACCTCCATCTGAGATGTCCACGGGGATGGCCACCCCAAGTGTCCCCTGGCTGAGACATCAGTGATCAAAGCTCCCCTACAGGAGCTGACTGTACTTTCTAAAGCCATTGCCCCAGCAGTGAGGGGAGTGCACTGTCCAGTGCTCGCCCAGCCTGCGGGGCCCACTCACTGGGATGGGACGGCCCCTCCCTTGGGGAGGCAGGGGAATAGGAAATGGTCATTCCTAGGGGCTGAGACCAGGCCTAATCGGTGGCCGCTTCCTTACACAGACTGGGGCCCAGTGCCCCGAGTGGGGCTCGTCATGTCTCATCCTTCCCTCCCTGTATCCACCGCTTCAGCAGACAGTCGTAATCGCTGTCAGCGCCGGCGCCCAGCATGCGGACTCAGAGGGCACAGCGTGTCCACTGAGAACGCTGATGAACTTGGGCACCAGACCGTCCTTCTTCCCGAACAGCACGGGGACGTGCCGGGTCACCGCCTCTGTGGCCTCCTGCAATTCAGGACAGACAGAGAAAGGAGCGTGATCAGGGACGGGGCACCAGGACTGTAGGGGAGGCTGGGACCTGGGCTGAACTTCAGAAAGGTGGACTGAACTCAGGGCTTATTATTCCCCCAGGGAGGAGAGAGGGATCCTGTTTCCCGACACCCCCCCACCCCGCCAGCATGTCACACAACCACTGGGACCTGACAGGGGCTCCCAAGCCTCCCACGCAGGGATCCCTCAGAGTGCCCCACTCTCCCAGGTCTGCACTCCGTCCTGCCCCACTGAGGTGAGGCAGGCACTGTTCAAACAGCCCTGTGCACTCTGAGAAACGCGCCAAGGTTCGCAGCAGCCCAGTGAATCAGCAGGAAAGGCCACTTCAACGCGGCCAATGCGACGTGCTCCAGGTCTGCTCTGCCTCCTTTTGTCCTCGGAAAAGCCATCGGTCACCGACAGGCACAGGACGGGGAGGACAGCGACAAGCCTCCCACTGTCGGCGAGAGGGAGGCTCTGCCCTCCCGGCAGCCGTGGTCCGACGCTCGCACACCCAGCGTTTAACAAAGGGAGCCAGGCGCACCAAGCACGGTTGCCTGTCCATTCCTGAGGACAAAAACAGCCATGAAACGGAGGCTGAGGGAGGCTGGAGATGAGCTGCCCGGCCACGAGGTCAGAACACTCCTCGGTGAACAAGAACCGGCTGAAATCAGGCAGATGGTGTAAAACCTGCAATGAGAATCTAAATGGGACAGAAACCATAGAAAGAAAGGAAAACAGAAATTCTGAGCATTATCACCGAAATAACAATTTGCCAGCTGGTTCGATCAATAGCATCCTTGAGCTGAAGAGGGAGAAAACAATCCGAGAAGGTAGGCCAGTGGACAGAGCCAAGTTGGAGAAGCAGAGAGAAATTAGAAGAAACAAAAATGAACACAGGCCCATGGGGCACGATCAGGAGGGTAACAATATGTATGGTGGGAGCCCTGGGAGGAGGGGAAGGGGCACGAGAAACAATGGCCAGACATCCTCTAAACTGGATGAAAGACTTGGACCTACACATCCGAGAAGCTCAGGGAAATCCACGCAAAATCAATGCAAAGGTACCCACCCGAAAACCCATTAAACTGTCAAAGACCACAGAGAAGGAGAATCTCGGATGCGGGCGAGAGACTCACCCCGAGCACGGGGTCGGAGCCCGAGTAGCCGCTGATTCCCCCTCAGAGCGCATGAGGCCCAGGAGTCCGCGGGAAGACTACCCACAGTGCGGAAAGAAATGAAACCTGCCAGCCCAGAACCCCAGCGCCTGGAAAACCAGCTTTCGCAGGGAAGAAGAAATCAAAACGTCCCAGGTAAACTAAAACACAGGAGTTCGGTGGCCCCCAACCAGACTCCAAAAACGCTAACTCGTTCAGGCTGCAGGAGTGGACACTAGAGAGTGGTCACTCGGAGTCACGTGGACAAATGTAGGTCTCCAGGGAGGGCAATGTCAGGGCAGAGTGGTTGTCGCTGGCAAGTGCTGTCCAGTGGGTCTGACTCACAACAGGTGCTCTGTGCCATTCTGAACGACCCCATGGAGCACCGCCCGCCCCGGGCCCCCTCACTCCTGTTACGTTTGAGCCCACTGTTGCAGCCACTGCGTCCACCCGTGCTGCCAGGGCGTCCTCTTTTCTGCTGATCGTGTCCTTTTCTTGGGCCTGGTCTCTCCTGATAACACGTCCAAAGTAGTGAGATGAAGTCTCGCCCTCTCCCTTCCCGGCAGATCTGTTTGCTTGTCTACCAATCCACGGAACTTTCGATAGTCTTAGCGAACGAACATCTTAATTCACACACATTGCGGCTTCATCGGCATGCCCTATACGTTGCCCAAGGCCCTCCTTACTTAATGTCCAACATGCAAACAAGAGGACTGAAAACACCACAACTTGGGTCCTCAAAATGACATGTGTGCTCGTCAACGCTTCAAGGAGGTCGTGGGGGGGCGGGCTGCCCAGTGCAATCTGACATCTGGGTTCTCGAATTCTGCTACCGTGGGCATCGCTGGATCCACGCAAGATTGCATCCCAACGAGAGCCATGTGCTCGACGTTGTCTGTTGGCCTCCAGTTGTGAGGACCTGGGCTGCCATCCAGAGTAGAGACGGTCATCTTCGGACTTCGTCAGCAAGTGCTTCAAGAACTCCTCGGTGTCACCACGCAAGGTGTGTCATCTGCATACTGGAGACTGTTAACAAGCCTCCCTCTAACCCTAACGCCGTCTTCTTCTCCTTCTCCTTCTCCTTCTCCTTCTTCTTCTTCTTCTTCATGTGGTCCGGCTGCCCAGATGATTTGCTTGCCGTACAGACTGGATACGTTTGGGGAAAGCGCACGACTCTGATACGCGTCTTTCCTGATGGGAAACCCCTCAGCACCTCCTCCTGTGTTTGAATGACTGCCTCTTGGCTCATGTACACGTTCTGCAGGAGCACAAGGGAGGGTCCTGGAATTCCCGTTCCTCGTCACGGTACCCATAGTTCTTCATCATCCACAGAACAGAATGCCTTTGCATAATTGATAAAACATCTTTCTGGTACTCTGTTTTCAGACACCAGCAAAGACATCCCTTGTTCCATGTCCTCTTCTGAACCTGGCTTGGATTTCTGGCCACTCCCTTCCAGGGCACCGAAGCAGCCGTTGTTGGATGATCTTCAGCATAATTTTGCTGTCTTGTAATGTCAACACCATTCACAGTTTCCACTGATAAAGATCAAGGGCTGCAGCCTTCAGCATGAATGGCGACTCCATGTGAAAGAAGACTGAAACCCTCACACCTGGGCCAATAGGCGACATCATGATAAATGGAGAGGAGGTTGGAGTGGTCAAAGACTTTGTCTTTGCTGGATCCACAATCAACGCTCACGGAAGTGGAAGTCAATAGATCAGAAGATGTGTTGCATTAGGTCAATCTGCGGCACAAGACCTCTTTAGAGGACTGAAGACCAAGGATGTGACTTTGAGGACTGAGGTGCGTCTGACCCGAGCCACGGCATTTCCCATCGTCTCACATGCACGTGGAAGTTGGACACTGAATAAGGAAGACCAGCGAAGAACCGATGCCTCTGAACTGTGGTGCTGGAGCAAAGTGTTGACGTACCATGGACTGCCAAACTCTGGCTTAAAAGAAGTAAGGCAAGAGTGCTTCTCAGGGCAAGGAAGACAAACCCGCGTCTTAGCAATCTGACCGATGGTTGTTATCAACTGGACTTCCCAGGGGCTGCACAGTCCTGTCCTGTACCCACTGCTGTCTCCAGACAGCCTTCTCTCTCAAGACAGATCTTGGAATGTTCTTTTTGGCGATGAATTTGAGGGCATTCCTCTTGGATTGTTATTCTCACCGGAGTAAGTCAGAAGGCTGTCCAACTAAAAAGGACCCATGCCAGTCCATTTCAGCTCACTACTTATTAATGCCCAGGATACTGATCTTGATCTGTTCCATTTCATTTCTGATTCTTCCTAGTTTTTCTAGCTTCGTATTTTGTACACCCCACATTTTGACTACTCGTGCATGTTTACTGGTTTTCTTTTGTCAGTCTTTGTCTCTGCTTTGCTTCGTGTCCAGTCGTCCCCCGGCAGCACACGGAGGTCTGAGCAGCGGGCTCTGCCTGGAGGAGGCAGCTGTCTTGTCCACATGGAGTGCAGTGCACCCTGGGAGCCCGTCTTCCAGCACGGTCTCTGACGGTCCTGCTGCCCTTCCCAAGGCTTTCGGTGGCTAGGTCCTCAGAAGTGGGCAGCCTACCCTTCCTTGCAGTCTGAAAGCTGAGCTGAAATCTGCTTTCCCTGGGTGACCCTGATGATATTTGAAATACCAGGGGTGCTCCCGCATCACGGCCACACACAGGCCACCGCAGTCCAGCACACTGGCGGGCGGGAAGGATTGAATTATGCCCCCACCCCCACCCCCAGAAGGCGCCCGCTTGGTGGAGCCCGGGTTCTCAGCTTTTTGACGGATACGGTGATGACGTCATCACCCTGCATGAGGCAATGTAAGGAGCGCGGCCGATCGCAGTGCTGACCTGCTGTGCGGGGAGCTTGCGCAGGCGTGTCCTCCGGGCTGTGTGCGGCGGGAAGAGACGCGAATCGGGCGAGAAGAGTGAGCTTTCTGCGGATGCAGGGTCCCTGGGCTGCAAACTGTGCAGACCTCGGGGAAAACGAAGGAGCAGGACTTGCCCCAGACTCGTCCCCCGGGGCTGCTGGTGTGAACTCCGGCTCTAGCTTCGGGACCAGGGGGAGCTTCTCTGCTCTTCAGCCCCAGCCAGCCGACCCAGAGGCTCAGGCCAGTGGGATTGTGACCCAGGCGACAGGGCTACTTGATACAGAACATTCGTATTAAGCTCACGGCAAAGCACTGCAGATACCTGGAATGGTCCAGCCCCGTGGCGCGTGCGCTCTCGGAACTCCTGTGACTCGCTGCTGTGGGGTCCCCACGACGCACGTGCGCGTGGCCCGTGGCCAGGTTCACGTCCGAGAAGGGGGTCTTGAAGGCAGGCAGCAGCCGGTTTCCAAAGTCTTTCTGATGGACAGGGAGGCCAGAGAACAACTGTCAGGGCAGGCCGCCTGGTCCACCCTCCACCACCCCATGAGGGCACCAACAGCAGAATTCAGCTGGAGCCACCCGGACTGCGGGCCGCGTCTGTGGGTCAGACACACGCACTCCGTGAACAGACTGGCAGGATGGAGAGAGCACGCAGGTACAGGCTGGCACCCCACCTCCCATCACACTCACGGCTTTCTCCAGGAAGAGGCTGTCCCCCGTCAGGTGGTAGGTGCTCAGCAGGCCGCCCAGGATGCGGATGGTGCTCTCAAACAGGTTCACGTCCACGTCTTTCTGGAACTGCAGCTTCTCTGCCACCCACTTCCTGGCTTCTTCAAACTCTACGCACACACAGCAGTTTCCCGGGTGGGGTCAGGGGTCCGGCCTGGCTTCCCAGGGCCTCAGGGGCTCTCTGGGGGTGAGGCCTCTGCTCCTGCAGGCCCTCGCCTGCTCTCAGCCCACCTCTGCTCCTGCAGGCCCTCTCACCTGTGCCCTCTGGGTCTCTCCGGGGGGTGAGGCCTGTACCCTGGCAGAGTTTCCAAGTGGGGTCTCTCCCCAAGGGGCGGGCACCGGAAGTTCTCCCACACTTGCAGGCTCAGGAGCCAGTGCAGCTGGGGAGGCCCTGGGCACTAAGAGTTCCCTGCCACTGTCAGAGGCCGTGAGTCCAGGGCCACAGAAGTAGCCCCGGCCGATTCGGATCACGGGCGCTGAAAAGCAGGTGCTCCAAGGATGGACTTGGGAACCACAGCGGGCTCCGCTTAAGGCGCCCTGGTGGCACAGGGCAAAGTGCTCGGCCTCTAATCCCAAGTGGGAGGTGTGCGCC